CGTGCATGCATTAATCAATTTGGAAGTAGTAGATAGACAAATAATCAAAGTTTGCTTTGATCTAAATCAATATATGTAATTGAGATATATTGTTAAGATCTAAAGCCTTATCAGGTATAAGATTGGCTCTGAAGACAGAGCATGGGATAAGCCAGATATCAAGTTTAAATATATCTACTGTACATGAGAGAGATTGTTCTGGTCACATAAGCATTATGCACGATACATAATGAAAATTTAACTTGCGCTGGCACAGTCCTGACTTCTTCTGAATGTCACATAATATTATGACTGAAGTTAGCCGGTCAAATGGTCACGCCAGTTAGATGCTGCACTGCATATTTTAGCTCCACTCCCATGATTCTTGAGCAACATGGATTATAATATGTGAAGTGACTCTTCCCACAAGATTTGAAATTTAGGAGGGGGCGTTCTGTCTTTCGATAACTCCAGGAGGTATAGCACGGAGGTACTGCGATGTAGGACTACAGCTATTTTGAGCAGATGTCCTCAAATAGGAACAATGGGTGATGCAGTTGTAGCTGGTTGGCCACTGAGGGATTAAAGTGTTGCAATTGGTGATATATGAAAGACTCCAATGCTGTAAAGGAAGCATCTTGTCACCCTGACAAAGATCAGCATGTCGGTTATAGAATCCCCTGTGTAGGAAGTCCAGAGTTCCCTTGGCCTGTCCTGCTGGGAATTCTGGATTGTTTGAAACTGGATACATTGGTCCATTGGCTGTTGTGAGGGGGAGTTTGAACCGGATATGGTTCCAAGCCTTCAAGGTTGCCCATATGAATGGTTGTGTAGTAATTAATCCCATGGAAGTGGCATCAGGCAGCCATACCACCACAGGGATGCCTTTTCCCAACATCTCTCGCTCAAGTGTCGATCACATTTTCTGGGAATTCGCATTGTGCCATTCCACTATTCTTGCCAAACGGGTCATTCGGTAGTAGCCCAAAAATGATGTTAGTCCCAGTCCTCCGACGTGCTTGGGTCTTACAAGTTTTGCCATACGAAGCCAAGGTCTACGTCCCTTCCAGATGAAGGATAATAATGCCAAGTTCAGTGAGTTGAAAAAAGCTGATGGAAGGACAAACGGAATCGCCTGAAACAAATAGAGTATCCTGGGCAACACATTCATTTTGCCGGCGTTAATGCGCCCAATCCAGGAAAAGTGTGGAGACATCCAAGGTTTCATATCAGTCATGAGGCGGCACAGCGACTGTAAGTTGAGGTGGTACAACTGTCGTAGGTCCCAAGGGATCCAAATATCGAGGTATTTAATGCGATCCCAGCAAAACCTGAAGCTGCCAGTGAGGTGGCCCAGTTCTCGAGCTGGGACTGTGATATTAAGGGCTTCTGATTTATCATAGTTCGATTTAAAATTGCTCAGTCTGCTGTATTTGCTAACTTCACTGATGATGTTCGGTAGAATGATCATTGGTTGTTCCATGTAAAACAGTAAGTAGTCCACATAAGCAAATATTTTGTGATTCGTTAGAGCATATCGGAAGCTGTGGATGGAGGAGTTGGCCCTTACAGCCTCTAGAAATGTCTCTAGAAACAGCACGAATAATATGGGTGAGAGCGGGCAGCCCTGCCGGGTGCCGTTTGAGATCCGCACTGGTGTTGAAAGTCCTCCATTAACCCGCACCCTAGCTGAGGGTGTAGAGTAGAGAGCCTGGATCCATCGACAGAATGGAACCCTATTTTCTGCAGAGTAAGGAGCATGAATTACAAATCCACCCGATCAAACGCCTTCTTCACGTCGGTGGAGAGGACAACCAAAGGGCGGCGCATGGAGGTGGCTAACTGTAGTATATTTAGGAGCTGGATGGTGTTATCCTTCGCTTCCCGCCCAAGGATAAATCCACTTTAATCTGTACAGAACAGAGAAGTTAGTACTGGTTTCAATCGAGCTGCGAGAACCTTGGCTAGCAATTTACAGTCAGAGTTTACTAAGGAGATTGGCCTGTAGTTAGCGCATTGTTCGGGATCTTTGCCCTCATTCGGGAGAATGTTGATATGTGCTAAGAGCAACTCCATCCCCAGCTCCCTCCTTGCAATAAGGAGTTGAATGATGTCATCATTGGCAACAATAGATCTTCCCCAAACTTCTTGTAATATCATAGGGGGAAGCCATCTGGGTGCGGGGCTCTGCCTGTTTTGGAAGTTTTGATGGCTCGACTCAGCTCTTCTAATGTGATCTCCGCGTCTACTGCGGCCATAGCCTCCACTGATAATTTCTTCTTAACATGTGTGAAAAGATATACATTGATGTCGGCAAGACGAGCAGTTGGGTCGTGTAGGGGGTTGACCTCTTGTAAATTGCACAGGGTAGTATAATATTTGCTAAATGCCTCTATCATCTCCGTTGGTTGTTCTGATGACCGATTAGGCTCCACCCGTATCTTTTTGATGTGGAAACGTTCTTGTCTTTTCTTCAACAGTTTTCTACATTTGTTGGAGTTCTTGCAGAAGAAGCGCCTGGATTTCTGAAGCATGTGTAGTTGCTGCTGGGAAAGCAGTGTTTACAGATCTTTTCTGGTATTGAGTAGGATTTTAAAGTCCCCATTTGCTAGTGTTTGTTTGTGTCTCAGTTCCAAGGTCACAATTGTATCTAGTAGCGTCTGACGTTTCTCTCACCTGGCCCTCTTCCTGTCCGCGCCTGTGGCAATAAACTTTCCCCTTATCACACTTTTGTGTGCTTCCCAGACGACCATTGGAAGTGTCTCTGGAGTAATGTTGTCTGCGAAGTAACGGGTGAACGATTCCTTTATTGCCTATATATCACCTCCGGTAGCAGCGATTCGTTCAATCACCAAGTCCATTCTTTGGGTTTGAACAAGGGGGACTCCATGCAGATGCCAACGGGGGAGTGATCCGACCACATAACGTTTCCCACGTGGGAGTCATGAAGGGCTGTCAGGTAGGGCTGCGTGAGGAACATGTAGTCGATCTTAGGACCGATGCACCGCAGAGAAATAGATAAAGTCTCTACCGTCCAGATTCAACGTCCTCCAGCAATCGACCGGGTAAACTCTGTAAGACTTTCCTTACAAGTCGAATGTGTCAGTATGGAATAGTGCTGTGGCCTTGTGATGTGTCCACTACAGGTTCTAATGGCATGTTGAAGTCCCCTCCCAGCACCAAAACCTCTGCAGCGAATTCCACTAGTTGTTCCAATGTGGACCGTAAAAAAATGTGTTGCGTATTGCTTGGTGCATAAAACGTGGCAAAGGTATAGAATTGGGAATTAATGTGCCCCTTCACAAACAGAAAACGGCCCTCTGGCTCACTTTTCTAGTCGACTAGAGCAAAAGGTCAGATGGGAGAAGAGTATTGCCACTCCCACTTTCTTCCTGGACTCGTGCGAGGCAAAGTATCCATTGCGGCATCTCCGTTCTCTCCTGAAGTTGATTGTGCGCACCTTCAGCGGCTCAACTCCTATCAAGGTTGCAGTCTAGAAAAAAAAGGGGGGGGGGGGAGGAATGAAGAAGG